AATAGTTAATATTATTATTCACCCTAACCCATGGTTCTCATCCTTCGTACGTAATCGACAATCCAACCGTTCGGTCGAACCTGAACCCAAATATCGGGGTGTAACATTTCTCCCACCCTTACAAAAATTTCGTCCCCGAAATTTGCGCGAAACTCATTCCTATGTCCGCACCGTCCTTGCGCATCCTCAACTCAAGAAGAATTTTATTCCCTCGATGTGAACATCAATGTTGGCCGTTGTTTTTCCCGCATAATTTACTTCACTTCTTATATTTCCTTTTGATTGTAAACTATATTCTCCCAAACTCGTTAGCACCGAGTAGCTTGGCGTGACTACTTCTCCTCTTCAATTCCCTCGCTCGGGTTATGGAATGAAATCCGATTCAATTTATTGGTCTATCTCATTCAGTACTTGGTGTTGGACCTTAACTCAAAATCGAGATATCACATTTCCTCCCCCCATAAGAAAAATTTCGACCTCGAAATTTGTTCATCGCGTTAGCTCAAAATCTTACCTATGGTAATCCTTCTACTACATGAATCTATACTTCCTTTAATTTCACAACCCATTTATCGGTGCTTGGTTCTAGCATTGATGCTCGGACTCAGCTCGGTAGCTCCTCGTCATTCCTTCTCAAAAGTGCTACTTCCCTTCGCTGACATTTATTAGAACTTACCTCGAACGTTCTACTTCCCTATTGTTTCTCGCCTGGCTTGATGACTTTCCTTAAACAAGTTTCGAGATTCTAACTCTTAACCTACCCTGGTCCAACGATGCTAATGGTATCCCTTGGATTTTCGACCTTTGATGGCTACCGTAAATTGTAGGTTCTCTCGAATACTTCCTCATACCTCGGCGTAGTTGTCACCACTTCTAGCCTTGCTTACTTAAACCTAGTTGTCCTACCTTTAGTTTTTTTTTCTTACTACCACTAGACGTATCACCATCCGGTGACTTATCAAAACTTGGGTAATGGAGATCGCGGAACTCGTCACCATCCGGCTCCATGCCTGACTCACTACCGTGGAGTGTATCACCATCCGGTAGGAATCCCTCGCATACCTTAACCTCTAGCTTGCACTTATTAGCTACATAGTGCGCTTGCTCTTTCCTCATTATTTACATCGTTACTCTTGATGATTTACTCCTTCATTTCAAGGACTTTCCTCCGATCTAGTTCCCCAAATCCACGATTCCTCTTCTTAGGGACGTACTGTATCCCTAAGGGATTACCCAGTCTACGTAAGTACACGATTGTGCCTCCTCCAAGCCTTGACTCATTGATCCCTTAAAACCCATTCATGCTCCCCATGATCTACTGAATTCGTCCTTGATTTGCTTACGTGCCCCTAGTGTTGCTTAAAGTCTAACCTCTCCTTGGGTCGTAGCCCTGCGCTCGATTCTCAGGAACTCAACGAACCTTCCGTACATCCTTTCCTCTAGATTAAGGCCGCCATTTGCCATAACTCCTTGGATACTGTCCGTCGACGTGCTAGATACTTGGCATACTCCTGAACCTTATTCTGATCAGTTCGCATCCCGGTAGAATATAAGCTGCCTTGAACCTCCTCTTCTCACTAATGGAAAGCTTTCCACTAAACGATCATCTGCTCTTTCTCCTTACCGGGTTGTATCATAACCCCGTGGGCATCCTAAAGTTATGTCCTTTTCACGACTAGAGTATACCGGAGATTCTAAAAAAAAAATCATCAAAAGAACCTTGACTCGTTTGACCGAACCTTAAGCCGGACACCCGTTTTTCGTCTCCTTTAAAAAAAACAAAAGCCTTGAAACTCAGATCGTCACCCCAGTATTCCTTGGAGACCAAGAAACAGAGGAGTGCCGGCTCTGATACCAAAATGTAACGTCCCGACCTTTTTCGAAAAATCAAACCACAACTCAAACCCAAAACCGGTTACTCCGGAGCAACCAAACCATTTTTTTTAAATTAACAAACTGACATTATTTGAGAAGTTCAAACGAAAAGCCCTAACACTTGGGCAATCAAAATCTAAATACTTAAACAACTTAACCCAGCATCTTGAACCTTGAATCTCCAGTACATATACTCATATTCATAATCATAAAATAACTTTCAAGTTTTAACTCTAACTCTTCACCCAGCTCCTTGACATCTCACTAGTACTGGCACGGCCGGTCACCTCATCTTACTTCTTCTCGGGATGCACTTCCGCTAACCCAACCTTAACCTGGTGAGTGAGAAGGGGTCAGTCTCGTCGTTACTTCCTAAGGTCTTGCTCTAAGAAACCTCCTTACTAAAACACGTTATTAGCGTTTCCTTTCCTTAGATGGAAGTCGTTCTCACTTTCATCCTTAATAACTCATTTCAACTTTAACTCATAGAGGTCTCAACCTTTATCCTTAAATCATAGAAGTTTTCTACTACCTTAACTTATATACTTATTACTAGGGAATCACCGCGTTACGTATCGCCGTCCGGTGTCCCTATCCTCAAGGCAATGGTACTGCGTTACCTATCGCCGTCCAGTCCATGCCCGGTCAACTACTGCGTTACGTATCGCCGTCCAGTAGTGACCCGACCATCTACCGCGTCCAGTAGTGGCCCAACCGCCCGGGGGTTCATCTTACCAACAACCATACACATTCACATACATAGCACAACGCGTGCCTCCACCCTTATAGGCGGTGGGATGCCTCACACACATAATCGCGCACACTAGAAAAATTAAATAACATAACCGAATTAAAAAGGCATAAACTAAAAGACCTCGACGGAGATTTTACCCCCTTTACACTCACCTTGAAATAACCATGTAATAGTCCAACTCAATGTACACGCTATGCAATCGCCCCGTACGACCATGCAACCACGTCCATGGAATTACTAGTCTCTGCTAGCTGATTAACGGACCAAATGAGTTTCATAAGTCACAAGAATTGCAATAAGCAAAAGCTCTCTTCGTAAGTTCCAACTCTTCATCCCTTTAATTAATTCTATTCTAGTACCAATTATAAAGCCTCACATTGCCATGACTAAAACCAACTTTGCTCTCCTCAACTCAAACCACCACATAACACTCTGTGCATTTCCATGCACGTATGGTAGCTAAAGGTTGATAATAATTAAAACAACCTAGCCCAGCGCAAGCTCCCACATCATTCTCCATCTCCCATAATGTATTATAACTAACATGGACGAGTAATGAATCGTTACCTCCAGTATGAGCTTTTGTTGGCGAGTCATATAATCCATGATGCCGTAACGTGACTTCAGCCGCAATCGCATTCGGTCGGGAGAATTGTAGGCGCCTCGCCAAGCTAAGTCTCCCCGTAGCTTCCATGCCTAATCGTCATGCTTCTTCCACAACGATGTCGAGCTTGCTCACAACATCGAATAAAGACCGACGAAGGTATCCAAACCCTTCTCAATCCCTGCGGGTGCATGCCCACAACATCTCGCTAACTCCTCCTCAAGTAATTCATCCTAATCTTCCGACAGGGGTCTGGCCAACGTCTTACCATCATCATGGATCCAATCATGTCGTTGTTTCCTCTGAAATTCTCAGCTGTTGGAGCTTGCTTCTGAAACCGCCGCCTGCCTTACGGTTCTTCAATTGTAATTGTCTTTTATCGTCCTTTCATGATCCGTTTGGGCGTATACCACCGACTAGCTCTGCAACCCGGTTACTTCCTTACCATTCCTCTTCTTTCCCTATCGATCGTCGAGTCCCACCGTAGACTAGGTCTCTCGTCTCCATCATAAACGTTTCCATTATTGTCCTCAATCGATTCGGGCGCCCTGAACGTCCTTCACTGCCATCTCCATTAACTACTCAACCGCACGTCCTAATCTCATTGGGTTTGTTTGCTATGCTGGCGGCGGCGATCGCGCGAGGAAAGGGATGGGTGGCTGCCGCGCTGGTCATCGTCGGTGCTGGCTGCTACTTCCACCGACGGGTCGATGGCAAAGGGAGGAAGCGGCGAGATCGGAAATCCTTTCTTTTTCTTCTTCTTCTTTCTTTTTGTCTTCTGCTTTGCTCTGATGCTCCCACTGAATAGAAGGGGAATGGGGAATAATGGGGAGTTTAATGGGTGGGGTTTTTTTTTTTCTTACGTTGGGGTGTCTAGGTGTAACGGGTTGGAAGGGTGAACCAGAGAGAGAGGGAGGGAGTTTAATGGTTGGGATAAATACCTTTCTCTTTTTTTTTAAAATAATAATATAATATTTAATATTATTATTCACCCTAACCCATGGTTCTCATCCTTCGTACGTAATCGACAATCCAACCGTTCGGTCGAACCTGAACCCAAATATCGGGGTGTAACAACAAAAAACAACAAGAAGAGAGAAAACCTAGGCCCCACAGACGCCGGGCAACTACTTCCGTCTCGATCGTGTTTCAGAAAAAAACACGAGATCCGGTTTATTCGAGTGAACTAAACCAACAGTTGTTTGGAATGTGAGGGATGGTCCAATTCCTCTCACATTCCAGGCTAGTAGCCTCATTTATCTACTTGGGGCCATTCCAGGCTGGCTTCCTCCACCTTATCAGCTTCATCCTTATCTTCCACGAATTTATTTTTAGGCGTCGGGGTCTCCGCAACCTCCCCAACTACCTCGTCCAAATGACGTTTCTTAATGCCTGTCGCCTTCTCAATAATATTAGAGCCATATTGTGGTTCGACAGCGTGGCCATTGGCGGCTTGGTTTCAGCCATTCCCATCCCCTTTTCAAAGGCTTGAACCACTTGGTTCACCCGGTTGGAGCGGGCCAGGCGTTGAAGACTCTCATTTCCCTGAGGAAACCGTCGCCGCACTTCAAACATCGGACACTCATCTTCCGATGTCGTTGTCGTCGACTCCCAGGACTCATAAATTGGGAACATTTGTTCGACCCCTTTCTGATCCAATTTTGGTTCGTTGTCTTTCCTCCTGCCTGTCTTCCCCTTCAGTGGCTTTTTCTGCTTCTTTTCCAATTTCTCTCCGCCGCCTGATCTTATCACCCGAGACTGCCTCGACTAGATAAGCGCTTCCCGGGGGAGGTGGCATAATAAACCTTCATCCATGCTAAGCGCAGGAGCGATCTGTCTAATCGGAACCGCATCCACCACAATTTGGCCGGAAGGGCAGCGCCGATGAGGTCCACCCGCTTTAGTCGAGGTGTTCGAAAGCATGGGGGAAGGAATTTCACTGAATATGAATTCCTCCTCCCATTCCTCCTCCAGGATCAACCTTTGATGTCTCGGCCGCCCTTCAGCTTCAGGTTTGGGAGCCACCGAGGCGCTAGGATCAGGCGAGATACCTCGCTGGCGAGTAGCAGGCCTAGCGTGCCTCCGAGCTACGTCGATCGAGGCAGCTGCAGTCATCACTCATGCCCCTTTTGGTCGACGGGCCTCTATGTGTGGCTTGATTGGGCCATCCAGCTCCATTGGGTGTGGGTGAGGCCTTTTCCTAGACTTACCACGGCGGGACGGTCTGCCAAGGGCAAGCTTGGGTCCTTTCGCCACCGAGAAGCGAGGTGGGCTTCGTCCCTGGGTGTTACGGGATTCGGTGGTGGCAAACGGGTTTTTGGATGACCCCATCCACAGTGGGCTTGCCGCAGCAGCTTCAGGCCCATTATCGGGGATCAAGTTCGGCCCAGTCTTAGTTGAGCCCGACTTCATGCCCGTCCCAGAGTATTTCGGCCCACGTACCTCCGTGTTAACCCACACAGACTTAGGGAGCCCACGATTTTGATGCCGAGCTTCTTCACCATCGAAGACCTTCCTCCCCATATTCTTAGTCGACATATGGGGGCCAAACCGCTGTTTCCTTGTTGGGGGATCAAAACTGCATGTCTGGCGAGCATGTCCCACACGCCCGCAATTGAAGCAGAAGCTAGGAAGGAATTCATATTTAAATCTAATCCAAAAACCACCAGTCTCGTCATTTGTTGCCATGATTTGAGACCGTAGTGCCTTGGAAAAATCAACCACGGCCTTTACTTTGACAAAATTCTGACCCGTGTCAGCACAAGAGAAGACACCAGCTCCAAAATGCGGCCCAGTGTGGAATTTACTATTTTCCGCCGAAATTGATGTGTACAACAGTCTTCCTGGACATCCCATAGCTGGACACGGAATGGGACGATCGCGAGCTCCTCAAAAGTGAGATGGGAAGCAGAGGGAACCCATGCCCCCAAATTCAAAATCATGTCTGCAACGATCCATGGGGTATGCTATAGGACCCATGTTTTGGCTGCCTCCGACGGGAGAGTGAACTCAAAAAGATAATGCGGCAATTCACGCACAATGATACGTCCTTGACCTTGCCATGGCCAATTCACCGCATCCCTCAGCTCGGCAGTTGAAAGCCGGTTATCAGAGAAGAGAAGACCAATAAGCATCCTTGATTTGCGCACACGAGTAGCTTGGATCTCTTCAAGAGAAAACTCCACCACTTGATCATTAGTGATTCGCGCCATGGTTACCACCTGCAAAGGTAGTGGGTCAGACGGATTATTTGATGGAGCCCCAACTAACCCCCCTATCGACCAAGGGAAGCTCCAGCAAAAGGAGCCAATGTTATGCATGATAATGCCATCCCACCAAACACGAAAATTGATCTCGGCAGGGGATAGAAGCCACTTACCGGAGAATTTCCGTGCCTCACACTGTGCTTTCTTGCGTTGCTCGCCCGCTTGTTCCTCAGTCTGCTGAGAACGATTGGGGACCAAAGGGCCGGGCAAGCGTCTTAAATAGCACTACTTTGGTTGGGGTGCTAACGGCCGAGACAGGCCTAGTTGGGTTAGGAATGTATGATTCCGATTTTTAAAAAATAATTGATTAGCTATCCCCCCCACTTTTCGCGATACGCTGCCTGTTAGGATTAGCGCTTCCCAGATGAGAGATTAGGTTTTTCTTTAGGTTGTTGGGAGACCCACCCCAATTAGGTATGCCGAGGTGGAACGGTCGCTGGCACAAGCCTGGCCAGAAGGAGCTCACCGGACGGGAGCCGGTCGACCCACCCTTCAGTCGTCTACCATCTCGAACTGCCCCAGGCTTCGTCCCATTTCGGGATCTGAATCCTGATGCCTCCGTTTCTTTCTGCATGACAGGTGTTGTTGCCATTCTCAGTGTATCATACGATACCCGATCTGTTCCCTCATCTCCCTCTGTATCTAAGGACGACGGGAGCTTGAAACTCCATGTCTGCAGGCCGATCGACCTTGCCCCATTATGGGGTCTGAGTTCATCCGGATGAGGGTCTTCAATAACATATTCTTCCTCAGCATGGATCCTCGATTTAAATATAGGAACCTCCCACGCCATTTCTTCTATCTCACCAGGAAAAGGGAAGCGGAATCGCCACCCTGGCAATTTACAGTGCCAAGCTCGTTTACTTTTATGGCCTGTCTGTACTGGATCCATAACTAGACTTCTTCTCCGTTTGAGGAGGCTATGGTCCCTATCGAATTTTGCCGCCCACTTGCTGGCACGCATTCTTGAGGCTTGAGCCCCCATATTCCTTTGCCCATGGGATACATCACATTGCGCAGCCCTTTGATTAGGCCTTTGATCATGGCCCTCGAACCAACGTAAATCTTGCAAGCCCTGGTTAGTAAGCGCCACCTCCAAAGCAAGGCTTACCAATCGGGCGATTGGTCCTCCGGCAGTCGCAAGTGAAGCCAGATCGTCGACCAAACAAGTTGGAGGAGAGAGGAGAGAGCTCTTCGGTCCTTTTTTTTTTGGTATCATGAGAAAAGCCTGTACATGTTGTTTGTTAAAACCAAAATATATGGTTATCTAATGGAGTTAAAAATACCAATACTTTTTAGGGAGAAAAAAGTAAACACCTAAAATTGAAAAGTACGCAAAAATAAATGCACATGGGCTTTCAGACAACAAGCCAAAAACCCTCCCAAGAGACGCTGCGTAGCGCATCTACCTCCCCTAATGGTATAATGACATCAGAAGTGCAGTGAAATAATTTATAATGAAATAATTTGTAGTGAAATCATGCACCCAATAAAATAGGCCCAATCAACATGCTTAATATTAGCACTTCCATTAGTGAACAGTAATCCTTATCTAGTTTTATATCTATATATATCAATATCAACTAATAATATTCAAATTATGAATCAAGTAGAACATGTTGATATGTTAGTGCCTTCCATTATCCGATATATATACACTGACAAACATAAGGAAAGGGTTTTTTTTTTGTTGGTAAAAGATGAGACGCTAAAAGGGCGCCCCTGTCTGGTACTTAGATTAAACGGGTTTGGGAAATTCCCAAAACATCATGCAAAATCCAGAAGTACAGACCCGAGTCTGTACTCTCAACAACATGGTAGCCTATACTAATAGAGTGGCCCTTATTAGCTAGGAAATCGGCCACTTTGTTTCCTTCTCTATAGATATGGGAAATTCTGACTTCCCAGTTCTGATGAATCAACCCCTAAAACTGCCGAATCAGATTATGGTACCCGTGCTCAGTCTGCCCCTGAGATGTAATAATGTTGATGGCAGTAGAGGAGTCGAGTTGGAGGAGGACTTTCCTGTAACCTTTCTCCCACGCCATCTGCAATCCTCGAATGGTAGCCATAATCTCGGCTCGGGTAATCGTGCATACGCCGAGGTTCTCCACAAAGGCTCCCATACATTTTCCCATCTAGTCCCGGACAAGACCGCCGCCTGCTGCTATCAAATCTGGTTGCTTCACTAACCCGTCGGTGTTGACACACACCCAATCCTGTGGTGCGGTATCCAAGCGAGCCGCTGTTTACTCTTCTTAGGCGCCTCTTTATGTGAAGTCGTGTCATTATCCTGAGCTTGCCTGATAGTTGCCTCCCAGCTTCCAATGCGTTGCGCCAGGACATGATCATCTTGATTCAAGTTGTGGAAGACCTTCTCGTTCCTTCTTTTCCAAAGATACCAAGCTGCCACACCAAACAGGATCCCTTCCTGATCTCTCTTGAGGTGCTCGTCAAGCCAAGCTGCAAAACCCAGGCCATAAGTTAGTGCAGTCTCCTTGATACATAGTCTATGCCATACCTGAATAGAGCTCGGACAACGGCGCAGTATGTGCTCGGTTGTTTTTGGTTCATTTCTGCAAGACGGGCACGCGTCATCCGTCGTCAGTTTTCTCTTCTTGCGCTGCGCATTCATCATCAACCTGTCATGAAAAACCAACCACAGAAAATGTTTAATCCTATTCGGGCCCGTCCATTTCCAGAGTTGCTTCCAGTACTGGTGATCATTAGCCTCCTCTGCCTCTCTCTCCTCGTCACTCAGCCACTCTACTGCCGCGGAATAGGCTGAACGGAGCTTGAACTTTCCGTCTGGCTCCATCCCCCAAGCAGTAATGTCTTCACCCGATCTCGGCATTGGAGGGTCCGTACCTGCAACCAAAGCAACCAAGTTCTGAGTCAGGTGCGGCGAGAAATCCCGCCACTTCCACTCACCTCCAGCCGTGACCATCTCGGCTACAGTGGCCTGCCAGTCGATTCCTTCGCCGTTGCCGGTGATATGCTCACTCAAGATTGTTCCCTCAGCAAGCCAGGGATCTGTCAAAAATTGTACATTATGACCTTCCAGAATGTCCCACACGACACGCTACTCGAGGATTGGCCAGGTATCAACAATGCCTTTCCAAAGCCGATAAAAATTGCTTTTTTTCATCACAAGAGCCCCTGTCTCGGTGGTTTTAAAATACTTTCCTTGCAGGATGCAGATCCAGAGCTCATCTGACTTATTCAGAAAGGCCCACCCCAGCTTCATCAGGTAGGATAAATTGAGAGCTCTAGCAGACCGCAAGCCTAGGCAGCCAAGCTCCTTCGGTTTACAGATTGTCTCCCATTCGACCAGGTGAGGCTTGGAAGCACCATTCTCAGCTCCCCAGATAAAGGCTCTGACTTTCCTATCAATGGTGTCACAAATAGAGATAGGGAGGACCGCCATTTGCATGGCATAGTTCGGAAGAGAGTTAAGCATCGAGGTCGCCAAGGTAACTTTGCCTGCAAGGGATAGACTCCTCGCCTTCCATCCTGCAAGTCGTTTATCAATCTTCTCCAGGATAAACTTGTAGGTGTCTTTCGTCACTCTGCCATGGATAATAGGAACCCCCAAGCAGCGCCCCAGGTTACTGGTTTGCTTGATCCCCAGCATGTCACTTATACTTCTCTTTAGGTTCTCTTTGGTGTTCTTGGAGAAGAAGACACAAGACTTGTCTATGCTCACTTGCTCCCCTGAGGCCTCACAGAAACGGTTGAGACATGTAAGAACTTCTTCTCCTTGTTTTGGATCCGCCTCCGCAAATAAGACCAAATCGTCTGCAAAAAACAGATGAGTAAGAGCAGGACCATCCTTAGATAGAGAAATAGGCCTCTAGGCTTTCCTATCAACAGATTCTTTGATGCAGTGGTTAAGTCTCTCAATACATAAAGTAAAAAGATAAGGTGAAAGAGGACATCCCTGCCGAAGACCCCTAGTAGGTTGGAAAGCATCGGTGCAACCACCATTCCAAAGCACCTAGAAACGAACCGTCGTCACACAAGCCATGACAAGTTTGACAAAATCATCAGGAATATCGACCGCCTGCAAGGTTGATTCCAGGAACTTCCAATTGATCCTGTCGTAGGCTTTGGCTAGGTCAATTTTCAGAATCATTTGTCCTTTGGCTCCAGTCCTGAGTGACATAGTATGAACCATTTCTTGCAGGATGATGATGTTATCTGTCATATGTCTTCTCGGAACGAAGCTCGACTAGCTCGGATCGATAAGATGAGGCATAAACTTTTTGAGTCGGTTTGCCATAAACTTTGCCAGGACCTTGTAGCTCACATTACAGAGGCCAATGGGCCTAAACTGTGCTACTTGCTTCGGAGAATCCACCTTGGGCAGCAGCACCAGAAGGGTTTCATTGCACATCCCTATCCGCTCCGGGTACCTGAAACAGTCAACAATGTGGTCGTGGAAGTCAGCTCCCACCCTGTCCCAACATTTCTGGTAGAAGGTAGCATGAAAGCCATCCTTCCCCAGAGCCTGAAGGCCTCCCATGCCCTTGATGAGGGGTGAGATGAAAGATATTGATATCATAAATACCCTTTATTGTAGCTCTATTGAGGTTGATGGTGTCTTGAATGAGTTGACGAGACCATTGTGGGTTTTGCTGAAAATATGACAGAAGAGTTTCTTGCAATCAATTCATGATGAACATCTCTTTTTCCCCTTGATCGAGGTGGATGATATCATACATGAGTTCACATATGCACTCCATCTTAAACTAGTTGGCGAGAAAATCGTTGGATTAGGACGAGCATGCGTTAATCTATTGATGAGTAGTTTACATCCAAGATGCTATTTTTGGACAAGTTACGCGAATACTTTTTTTCATATGATAATACTTTTATTGTTAGAGTGAGCAGATGTACAGAGTGTAAAGGAATAAAGAATAGGCTATGATGTTTTTCAGTGGTACGATATGAAAAATGAGATAAAAATGATTCTGCGGTAGTGAAAAAAATCCATACATGTCCAAATTTTCTGGCTTGATTTCAATCTGAGAGTTTGCGATTGAAATTATACAACAAATATCGTTTGAATGGATCAATCTAAAAATGAGTCAATTTGATCAATTGTCTCGTTTTATAAACGAGGCAATTAAAACGAGTCAATTCGAATTACCTGCCCCCACCCCAGGTAATTGAAATTGACTCAAAACGGATTAATTCAAAATAGCTCAGGCAGATTGATCCATCCAATTTTTTTGCTGGCAAACGAGGCAATTTGGTACAATTGTCTCAAAACGAGACAATTGTGTCAAATTGATCTGTTACAATTCCTCATCCAAACGACCCAACTAGTAAAATAATAAAATGACTATCACATATTGTATACCCAGGCAAGCTATTCAGCGAGTTTCAAATGGGATGGAATTGAAATCCAACCAAACCCATTAAATCATCAAACTATCTTCAAACCTTTCTGGGTTGGATTTTTTTAATTCATGCCAATAACGTGGATCTCGCCCAACTGCCCATACATTGATCATGATCTTGATTTTGTGGGGATTAAGTGTTCACGAATGACATGTTTCTTGAGCTTCTCATGAACTGAGAGGTGGGGATCAGTACATTGTTATCTCGATATTAAAATTCAAAATTTTGAATACCAATCTAAATCACGATCCCTAAAATTTTTTCTATCACAATTTCAGTATCTATATATTTGGTACGCTATATGTATTCTTGAATATCAAATTTAATTACCATCTCAATAAATAATTAAATATACACAAATATATATTGGTTCGAACACATGTAATCCTGAATATTTGTATGTGTAGGATTTTAGGTTTAATTCCATGATTGAAAACCTTGGAGATGAGAAGTTGAGGTGCAAAAAGTCTTAAAAAAAAAACAGCTGAAGTCTCAATTGAATGTTTTTATCACATGTAAAAGACTAATTAAAAAGTCATGATTTTTTACTTAGAGCTTAGGCAAGAAAAAAAAAAGGATGAGAATGTGATATCGCGATTTGTTTTACCTTTGTAATCTGTGATTGGATGGAGTTGAGGTTGAAAAATAAATGATGAGAGAGTATATTTTTTGGTGTTTTGAAAATATATAGGATTCAGTGAGAGACGAGAATGACCTAGGAAAACTTGGAAGCTAAGTTTGGATTGGATGAGGGCTTGCAAGTGGTTAAAATGTAAACAATAACCAGAAGTTGTGGGTTATATTTAATTAATTGCAAATCTTTATATTTCTTGGTATTTCAGTATATACCAGTCTCATTTCAATAATCTCGAAAACCGAAAAATCAATCTCAATCCCTAAAAATAACGCGATACTCAATAATACCAAACAGTGCAAAATTTGATATGGTATTCAGTTTATCCCAAATAATGATACCAAACTTCCACCCCTACTCAAAATCGATAAAAGATCAACATGTAAGAT